CTCTGGGAAGATGTTCTGCTCCTGAATCAGCTGGGTGGGTCTTGCCTCTAGCCTCTTTGCAGGGAGTTCTGCTGAAGGGTTCCCTGCTGGGCCTGCAGCCTGGGTCGAATGAGGATCTTGCGGGCCCCAGGTCGTCTCACTCACTGGCAGGCCTATGCCCTGGGTCTGTTCAGGATCCCCTGGCCCCGTCGTCTCACTCATTCGCGGGGCCTGCGCTCTGGGTCTGTTCAGGATCCCGCAGCCCCGAGTCGTCTCACTCACTCCCCGGGCCTGCGCTCTGGGTCTAAGGTTGTCTTGATGAATTAATTTATCAGCAAAGAAATCTAGGAGGGTTTTGTGCACAGGTTTCAAAAGGCAGAAACATTATCCTCTTAATCACTTCATAGTGAGTTCTTACAGTATGCTACATTATATTGCATACAATTTGAAAAAACAGTATTTCCAGCCACATAATGATTAATTTGGAATCATGCCTTCAGTTACAATGTGATCATTTTTATGGGCCGGGGAGTTGGCTCAGTAGAATAAGTGCTTGCCTGGCAAGTACAAGGGCCTAAGTTCACTCCCCGGTTGCACCACAAAAGAAAAAGAAAAACAATATTATCATTTTTGTCTCTTTCAGAACAGGCGGGATTGTTCCTCCAGTAGCTCAGCAGCTTCACAGAGAAAATATTGAACGAATAGTACAGGAAGCGCTTTCTGCCAGTGGAATCTCTCCAGGAGACCTCTCAGCAATTGCAACTACCATAAAACCAGGACTGGCGTTAAGCCTCGGGGTAGGCTTGTCATTTAGCAAACAGCTGGTGAACCAGTGGAAGAAGCCTTTCATCCCCATTCATCACATGGAGGCGCATGCACTGACTATTAGGCTGACCAATCAAGTCGAATTTCCTTTTTTAGTTCTTTTGATCTCTGGGGGTCATTGTCTCTTGGCACTAGTCCGAGGAGTTTCAGATTTCCTGCTGCTTGGAAAGTCTTTGGACATAGCACCTGGTGACATGTTTGACAAGGTAATTATTTAAGAATTAGTTTCTGCTTTTTTTGTTAACAATGCCTATTTCAGTTAACTAGCGATAGATGCACTGCTGCCTTTCAAGCCCTTCACAGTATCTTATTAGACAAGTTGTGCTGTAGTTAGGTTGCATAATCCCTGGAGGCATAACCAGGTAGATTTCTTTTGCTTTTGCCCTTGAATACTACAGCACTTCCTGTCGCATATAAAAAGACTCAGCTGCCAACAGAAATGACAAGAAGAAATAGGGCGGGTTTTCTCTTGAAGTTCATCATGCAGTAGCCATCGTCAGCCTCAAGCCTATTTTCCCACCCCAGCAGGAGAACAGAAGCAGGGGCAGCATTTGGCCGCTGCTCCTCACGTTGTCACAGGACAAGGTTTTCTGCTGTATACTGAACTTCAGCCAGGCCCCATATTTGTCAGAGTGCAGTGTACAGCATTTCATTAATTTTTCTGTTCATGTCCCTTGCATCTTTTCATTTTAAAATACATACTTTATGACGTATTTAAATTTTTGTTGGTTTGTTTTTGGTAGGTTGCTAGAAGACTTTCTTTAACCAAACATCCAGAATGCTCCAGCATGAGTGGTGGGAAGGCTATAGAACATTTGGCCAAACAAGGAAACAGGTTTCATTTTGATATCAGTCCACCCATGCATCGTGTTAAAAACTGTGATTTTTCTTTTACTGGACTTCAACATGTTACTGAAAAAATAATAACGAAGAAGGAAAAAGAGGAAGGTATATTTCCAGCTGGAAAGTTGGACAAATACATATTCCTAGCTTGTGCCTGAAAGCACCTACCTATTTCTGCAGGTATCGAGAAGGGCCAGGTCCTGTCTTCAGCCGCAGACCTTGCTGCTGCGGTACAGCACACAGCAGCATGCCACATTGCAAAAAGGACACATCGTGCGATTCTGTTTTGCCAGCAGAGACAGTGGTTGTCTCAAAGTCATGCGGTACTAGTAAGTTTGTCGTCTCATATAACAGTCGTGGTACCCTTTGCAGTATGTTACCTTAATTGACCTCATGTTTAGGATAAACTGGTCTTTATGACATATGCTGGCAATGACAGTGTGAAATTATGCAGAGTAGGAAAGACAGTCACTCTTACTGCAGCTTTGTGGGACAGGTACTTATATAGCTTATATAACAAAAGGTACATTACCACAACTCATTGGACTTGAAAGAGGGTTTACAATTAAGAAACCAAATGCAGGGGCCAGGGAGATGGTTCAGTAGAATACGCACTTCCCTGGCAAGTGCAAGGGCCTGAGTTTAAATGCCAGTTCCGCCAAAAAAAAAAAAAAGAAACAAAATGCAATCATCACTATCACTATTTTTAGAAAAGTGAGCTGGTTTCATGTATCCTTTAGTGAAATCCCTTTATTTATTTATTTATTTTCTGTATTTTAGGGAAAGATCTACTTGTGTTCAGGGTCTCACTAGTAGATTGGACTCAATGATTCTCCTGTTTACAGCCTCCCAAGAGCTGGGATTACAGGCGCCCGAGCCACCACGCCCAGTCTCAGTGGCTGTCTCAATATGCCCTGGGGGCGAGGCCGGCACCACAGTCCCAGGGATGAAATCCCTTTAAATATGCTTGGAAGCCTTAATCCACCTGGTTAATGTATCTTGAACTGTTTTTGTAAAATTATAAAGCATAATAGAAAATATTTAAGTCAAAAGTTGAATAATGAATGTTAAAAATGTTTTTTCAAATTTATAATAAAATTTAGAAACTGTTTATAAGTAAAAATGCCAGGATCTATTTTTGTTTGTTTGTTTTGTGGTACCGGGGATTGAACTCAGGACCTTACGCTTGCTAGGCAAGCGCTTATTCTACTGAGCTATTTCCCCGGCTCTAATGTACTAATTTTGATGTATTAATTACTGAGAATACTTACAAAAAGTTGGGAAAATATTTTAAAATGTTAGTACTGGTTATATTCTGATGATAAAATTGTTAGTGATTTTTCACATTTCTAAATTTTATAATACAGTTGTCTCTCTTCCCCATTACCAGCCTCAAAATACAGTTTTTAATTCAATAATGCTGATGTCTTTCTCTGGCTCAGTTAACAGCTTGGTTTGTACCCATGTGATAGTTGCTAATTTTGACCTCATCAATTCTTTCAGGTTGTGTCTGGAGGTGTTGCAAGTAACTTTTACATCCGAAGAGCTCTGGAGATTGTCACAGATGCTACCCAGTGCACTCTGCTGTGTCCCCCTCCCAGGCTGTGCACCGACAACGGTGTCATGATTGCATGGTAAGCCATAGGATGTGAGTTTCATTCATAGTCATGCAACTAGTAATAGCCATTTCATCATACTAAATCTTTTCTTTTAATCTCTGGGCTGTTTCTCTTATCCTGATGACTTTTATTTAGGAATGGCATTGAAAAATTACGTGCTGGCTTGAGCATTTTATATGACGTAGAAGGCATCCGCTATGAACCAAAGTACGTGCTACCACTTGTAAACTTTGTGCAAGGTACATGACTTAATACAAAGCCTAAATTTGGCTTCCTATTAATTTGTATTAAATTTTCACTGACATTCTGGTGGTACTCAAAGGAAAGTTGCATTAATGTTTTTCATGAATCTACTTGAGGTTGACATGTTATAAGATTTTTGCTACAATTTTTGACAAATCATATGTGAGTTAGAAACCAGGTTTGGACAGGGATGATGATTTCTTGTGTTTTGGGCCACATAGAAACTGTCTCTTGGACTTTTGCTATGTCGAGGCTCTTAGGACTAGCTGGTATGCCAGGGAACTTAAGAAAACATGCAGAAAGCGTGCAGGTGTGAGATTGGTTGTGACTGCATTCTTATAGGGGTAGCTGAGAAGGGTCAAAAGGCAGCTGCTTCCTGCAAGTCTTACTTCCTGTTCCAAATCAAAATTTACAGTAACCTAATTTATTGTTACCAAGCTCTTGTCTAAGTTAATTCTAGAACAATACAAGACAGTTATGTCTCATAATCTTGACATAATTCTCTCTTGGACTCTGTTTCATCTGAGGTTTTAAAGCTTATCAGCATGATAGTCTATAATGTGGCAGATGTGCTGCATGCATTACACAGCACTGGTGTGGTTGTGAATGAGCAGATGTGTCAGAGTCCCTGTGTGATGAGTGATGAGCCGTGCTGGGTTTTGGCCGATCCAGTTGTGAGTTGTGTGTTGAGTGGGTGCTAATGGCTTTTTCTAGGCTGGTCCAACTCAGGTAGGTAGGTAGGTAGGTAGGTAGGTAGGTAGGTAGGTAGATAGATAGATGGATGATAACTTTATTGGTACAATTCAGGTAAACATAATGACCACATTCATTATGGGGTATTTGTATCTGTGCTAGATCTTGATTCCTCTTTCTTCCCCCCATTCTCATCCCCTCTTTTCAAACAACCTTCCCCCCCTCAACCCCCCCCCCACTGTCAAAGCTTGGTTTGACCTGAGCAATGTAGAAGCAAAAATCTGAGGCTGAAGTTACTTACTCATAAGAAATTTTAAGCACAGTAGGAGGTCAGACCTGTCCTGCCACTAATGGCAGAGGAAGGATGGAGGGGGGCAAGCCAGCTTTTTTTTTTTTTTCCTTCCTGTGTTTTAGGGAAAGGTCTACAGGGTGTTCAGGGTCTCACTATTAGATCGGACTCATAGTGATTCTCCTGTTTACAGCCTCCCAAGTGCTGGAATTACTGGCATGCACCACCATGCCTATTCCGTGGCCAGCTTTTGAAACCTCAGAGAATACATAGAACCTTAGGAAATTTCTAGAGTGTGAGGCCTGGTTTGACTTTATGTGATAAAACATCTTTGCCATTTTAGCTTTGTAAAAGTTTGTAAGGCATCTTTTGTTATATTTATATTTCATTTAGAATTTTTAAACTTACTAATTTACAGTATTTGAGAATAGTAAAGTTCTTATTCAAAATTATCTCAGAATTTGTATTTCTTGCTAATGAGATGGGCTTCACCATCCTAGCTTAAGATTCCTCAGTACTTGTGTATATGTAGGACCCATCCCCAGACGTTTTGATGGTTACACATGAGATACTGTTTGTCAGAATTCTAAAACATGCTTTGCAGAACTAGTGATGGATCATGAAACAAGTATTTGAAATAATAATATTTATCTCATGCTGCAGAAGTCCTCTTGGAATAGATATATCAAAAGAAGTTGGAGAAGCTTCCATAAAAGTACCACAATTAAAAATGATGATTTAATTTTTACTTTGCAAGTCTCTAAAGGTAATATTTCAATGTTAAAATTTTCCTATTTTTGTGTATCAAATTGTAGAAATATATCAAGTCTTCTTGTTATTCCTTTTTTTTTGTTGTTATTGAAACATAATGCTGTAGTCTTACAAGGAAGGAAGCTTTTAATTATCAAAAACCAAAGTAAAATATCTATGCAGAAGATTATATTGCTGTTGGCACTGGAAAGAACAACATTGGAGAAATGTAGCGATTCTGTTGAATCCTGCCCCATATCAGACTGCCTACGTCTTTTCTCTGCTTTGCCAATTCAAGATATAGAAGCTGATTTTTGGCCTTCACTGAGACATCAGCCTGACTTCTATAATGAGAGAGTAATTTTAAAAGCAAATGATAGCCTGGTCAAAGTTTTTTTGTTTTGTTTTGGTTTTGATTGTGTGGTACTAGGGAATTGAACTGAGGGCTCCACCATGAGCTGCATCCCCAAGCCTAGTTGTGTTGTTTTGGTTTGGCTTTGTGGTTTTAAGACAGGGTGTTGCTGCCTGGCCCCAGCAGGACTCAAACCTGCACTCCTTCCGAAGAGCAGGGCTTACCAGCATGTGTCACTGCCTAGGTTTAAAGCCGTTTCTAAGCAGAAAACTCCAAATCCAGACCAAAAGACATTAGTAGATTGCATTGTTACTTGTAAAAAATATATGCAATTAGATTTCCTCTCTGGAATAAGTTGATTTACTATATATTTTTTAAAATTCTCATGCAATTTGAGATTTTAGAAATTGAACATACAAGTTCTCTATTCCCTTTAGTTGATCATTGCTTTTAAATTGTATAAAGTCAGATTAAAAAAAGATTTGTTTGGGGGTAGCTTCCTTTAAATTTGAAACCATAAAGCAGATACCATAAATTTATTACAGTGTTTCTGTCCAACTGCATGTACTATCTTTTGACTCTGAGGACAGTATGACTGGCTGTTTGAGAATTCTTAGCAGGAAAGGCTTCTAGCAACACTGACCAAGTTTTTAACATTCTAATCAGTGATTTGGTTTATTAGGAAACTAGAAGTTAAGGACAAAAATCTAGAAAACAGATAGTTCTTGTTTTAACCCTGCTTTACTTTTGGAACATTCTATAAGTAATTCTTTTGTTAGAAATATGATTACAGAGTATGACTCTATGATCATCTGTTTTATTCTACAAATAGAAAATTACCCTACAAATAGATGAAGGAACATATAAAAATAATGTTTATAAAGCTTTGCATTGTTAGATACTAAATTGCTATGTTAGTGCAGTAGAATTGTTTAAGAAATACCATTTTAAAAAAAGCTATTGGTAAATTCACATTTTACATTTGGACTTATATTCTGTATCAGAGAATCTCAATTCACACACAACTGTAATTATTTCCTCTGTTTATTGTAATCAGAGTGCATATAAACTGGAAGATTTACCCAAAATTTCCCTTTTATCATAAATAGGGATACCCATAGTCTATGTTTTGTTTTTTGTTTTTTGTTTTGGTGGAACTGGGGATTGAACATAATCTATGTTTGTAAGTTTTCAAAGTTTTGCTGTAGGGACTACAATCAAATATGTCAAAATTCACTTTGTGATGTAAGTAAAGGTAACTACAGATAAAGAAAATGGGCAAGCTCTGGAATCTTTTCAGTACTAGCCATAGGGAAGAAGAAAGGAAGGAGGAAGAGGAAGAAAGACAGCGGAATGCCAAAGCTCTGTATTAGTAAATATATGTGCCAGTTACCTCCATAATTTAGCTAAGAGGCAAGTAAATTGTTGAAGCTGTAGGTCTTTAGGCCTTCCTCACATAATTCTTTAGAAAAATTAGAAAACATGCAATAATTAAAATAATCTTTATGGGAGTTGACTGGTTTTTAGAAGTATTCTGAGTTGTAGGGTTGGTAGGATTGTCTGGATAATCAGGAATTACCTGTCGTTATAAAAAAAAAACAAAAACTGTGCTCTTCCACCTGCAAATACTCTTGCAATATATACTTTCATCAGTATGAATTTGTATCTTTAATTTTGCGGAGTAAATAGTTCTTTTTTATCCCTTCCTAGTAATAAAACACATCATGTCCCACTTGCATTTCCTGTATTTGTCCGTCCATCAGAGAGTTACAACTATTTACCTTAAGTTAGAATATCATTTGAAAATTTAGAGGTCTCTTAGTTTGCAGTGGTTAAGAACACAGGCTTGGGATGCTGAGAAGCCCTGAGCACATGTAGCTACCGTCATCATTGTTGTGGTGGTAAAGCCTATTGGGGAAAATAACTGCTAATTAATACATGTGTTTGCTGCTTCCTGCGACCCAGGTACAGAATGGATTACAGCCAGACCTTGAGACAAGATGCAGTTAAGCAAAGTGGATGGAGAAAGGAGGGGCCTTAAAGAACCCTGGGATGCCTGGCTGGCACTTGGATCACACTGTCTGCTGCTATGAATGAGAAGTAGGCATATGCCAAAGCCTGCATCTATTGGAGCAGTGTTTTTTGAGCAAAGACACCACGTAGATGTAAGCGATAAAGAATGTCATTCTTTCTGATTGCAAACCAAAGACACTGTGTACTGAGGGAGTATGGTCAACACTGGCGGTCGCAGTTTGTAACCCTACTTGTGTGCCTGATGGACAGTGATGTCAGATTTCATTTTTAAGAAAGTATTTTTAAAGTAGTATACATTTCATGTTTTAGAAGTCTCATGTGGACTGGGAGATAGCTCAATGGCATAAGTGTCTGCCTTAGAAGTCTTATATGTTTGTAATATTTATCACTGAATAAGATATTTAAAATGATTGTTAATATGTGGGATACATTGAATTAGTCCTCTAACTTAGCTTATCAATTCAAAACTGCTTCCAATTCTGTATCAGTCAATAAGTATTAGTAGGTGTTCATGCAGGCATTCTATTACAGAAATTCTAGTTATTTTGGGAAAGCGTAACTCGGACCTTGTATCAAATTCCAATCGTGGGGCTGGGGAGATGACTCAGTTGAATAAGTGCTTGCCTGGCAAGCGCAAGGACCTGAGTTCAATCCCCAGCTCTGGGAAAAAAAAAAAAAAAATCCAGTTGACATGCTAAGGAAAATCTGTTTAGTATCAGTAATGTCAAAAAATTCTAAAACAATGTTTAAAAGATTGCTCAGAATGTTTTCATACTAAGATTTTTTTATTGTCCTTCTCCAGGCTCCAGGTTGTCTTTCTGTTCCTTTTTCCCAAGTTGGTTCAAATATACTATTCTTGGTCTTGATACATTGATGATATCTGATGAAATTGCAGATGAAAAAGAAAAAATATTATGGGAAACTTTGCTCTTTTTTGATGTTTTGAAGAGTCCCACGAAGTTAGTTACAGGAGGCATTAAAGTCAAAGAATCTCTTGGCTGAATTTTAGGTTTTGCTTTTCTCTGGTGCTCTTTCCCTAAAAATTAAAGGACTGCAATCAAATATCTCTTAAACCTAAGGCTTCTAGGTACAGCCTCACTCCTTCCAGTTTTACATACTTCTATTTATGTAACTAAAACATACTAAGGAAACAGTAGCTCCCCAGGCTTTTAGATGTTAGAGATTTATGGGGAGTAGTATGTGGTTTGCCAGCTTCTTTATGGGGACCAAGTTGGCCCTCATAAAAATGCAAATGTACACATAATTTTATAAAATAAAGAATACTTTAACTTCAATAAAAATATAAAAGACATTTTAAAATGATAGACTTGACATTTTATGAAATTAATTTTATAAGAACTTTCCTATGTTGTCTGTATTTCTCATGTTACCATAAACCTGTAGGAACTTCTTCAGACAATTACTGCTTACATATTGTTGTTAAAAAACAGTATTAATGTGAAGAAACAGTAGGACTGACTTTATCCTTTTGCATAAATCATTCTTTTATTAAAAGAGCTGTAGGGGCCGGGGAGATGGCTCAGTAGAATAAGCGCTTGCCTGGCAAGCACAAGGGCCTGAGTTCAATCCCCACTTCCGCAAAAA